TCATTTCTCCTCATAAGTGACTCTAAATAAAGTGCCCTCGCGGGTAAATGACCGATGGGGCTTGCTACTTATGTGGTTTTAAGAGTTACTATGACGTAATTTCCGACAAAGATCTATACATATTTGTATTTATGCATGTGTTCCCGAATGCCAACTTCTCATTGGAGCGTTGTGGTCATTCGATGGTGAAAGTTGGTCCCTAACCCAGCAGGATACTTTCCGTCCGTATACGGGATTTGTTTTCAAACTGTGGAGAACGCTTGCGGCTTGTGTAACCTAACGTTTCCCCTGATTTACCGTGGCAGGTGTACACAATACTGATTTGCATTCGGTGACGTAAAAGCCCAACCATATACGTGCGCTTTGAAACAACCTATTTTCTGTTGACGTTTGAAAATGTCCAGTGGTTCCATGAATCAATTGCCACATCTGTTCGTAAATATTAAGGGCCAGGTGTTTCCGAAAAAAGACGAGTGTATTATTTGGTTCAAATACTTGCTATTTAGATGAAAAATCCATCTAGCCAAGCGAAATTTGTCACAAGGAAAAATAATTAATTTCAGTTAATACAGATGACCAAAACGATACTCCAATTCCGCGCGGATAATACTTTCGAATACAATCAAATGCAGATATTACGGATACCTTACCGGGTGATCTCAGTAATCGGAGAATCTTCTTAAAGAATAATCGATAATGCTGCCTTTCGATGTAGTCTACGGGTGAAAATTCTAAGATTTTAATTTCAGTTAATAAAAGCATGCACAGCGTTCCCCCGTCGTGCAAGGGGCTGCCGATTTGCCTGGATCAGATTTCGGCTGAAATTATATCTTCCAATATTGTGATTCGACACAGAGCGGATAAGTATTCTAGATCGTAATTAAATAAATAAACCATTTTCATTAAATTTTTGCTTAAAGTTGTTCTAAATAGTTATTGTGGTTATCCGATCGGGCAGCACAACGCCAATGATGTAGCTTAGAGTTAATTGAGATTTGCGTCAGTCAATCCGAAATTTCACATTTCAAGCGACACACAGAAGGCCGAAAGTACACACTACTGAAAAGTCCCACCCAGGGGGCTTTGTCAACCATCACATAATGATTTCATGGCAAGTATAATAGTAACGTCAATATTACAGAATCCTCGTTAATTGGGAAAACTCTGGTCAGGGATTTGAGAGTTAAACGTCGCTTTTTATATACCCACGATTGATTACTATAAAAGAAGTTTGACATTCGTTTGTTCGTAATGTTTGAAACACGCTGCTTCAAACACCGAATTGATTTACTCGCTCTGACATGTTTGTCCAAATTGCTTAAATAGATTCAATGACGTTTGGAGTTGGGGAGAAATCGTAAGTAACTCAAAGGCGTATGAATTCTATTCACTGGACTGGGTTATGCATACTCTTCAGAATCTCCCTGATTGGTGATAAAACACTCGTGGTCGTATAATGGGACAATAATCCCAGTGTTCGTAAATGTATAGCCTAGTGGAAATGCATAAAGATAGCATTTGTAACACTAAAGCACTTATATTCCATCGTAGTGATACTGCAAAATAAGCTCAAATCAATTTTTTAGTAGCTTTATAAAAAAATATCCCCAATTAACATATTCCGGTTGGGGCTTAGCGTTGACTACACTTAGTATTTTGGGTGCTACTTATGTACAATGACCGAAATTGAATCCAGCGAATCGGGTGCAGAGTGCTGAAAGATTTTTACATCTCCGTAGGTAGACAGTGATTGCAAAGACTGAATTGGGGAATACAAACAACCACTCTGGTACATCCAAATGTTGTCCAGTTCAAACTGGAATGTGGGCATTGTCCTCATCGTGTAAACCTGGTTTTAGATAAACACTCGCAGTGCCACACGAGAACGGGACATCTTTCGGCAAGTAACCTCTAAAACATTTGTTTCTCCCTACAACCCCCACCTCTATACTACTGTAAGGGGGGGGGGACAGAAACCCGGACAATGGCACGCTCGACTGTGTAACGATTTTATAGGATTGCTCCTCGATCAGAAAACAACACCTGGTGTCAGTCTTCGGATCAGGTCAACGGGAGGAATAATAACAACAGTAGGAACAGCAACAATGTTGTCCAGTAGAAAGAGATACCACCCAGTCAGTTATATTTACCCTTACGTATCGATGGTTGAGGTCGTTTGGCGAGGACTAAGCGGATAGTCATTGAGGAGAGAAGAAAAGTACCGGCTGGTTAGCCCAGTTCCATGTTCACCATGCAACCGTGATGAATCTGTTGGGGGGGAGGGGGGTATCGCATCTACATCATTGCCGGGTCATTAATGATCTTGCCGACCGCCCATCTGGGAATGGTACTGTTTGGATACGAGCGAGGATCTGACTAATAGTTTTGTTCTAAAGGAGGAATGAATGTAGCTTTGGTAATTGGGATTAACAGCCGGGGCTAGTTGGTTGCTCACTACTGTTTAGTGCAGAAAAATTCACTTAAAATGTGAGCAAGGAAGACCCTTCCCGTGCTCATGCTAGAGTATTTGTATTCCCTGGTGTTCCCCAGTAAGGAATAGAACAGTTGTTCACTATTCGTCAGATTGAAGGGTAAACTTCAGAATGCTTGCACAAAACCCGCCATTTATGGTNCAAAAACTCATATGCACAGTATTTTCATTATTATTACTACTAACAACACAACCATGATTACTACCAACCACTACCACCATTACTATTGTAATGTATAATTGCATAATAAGCTACAACTGCGTGAAAAAATCTTCATAAAGCATTTATTTGACCTAGGACAAGACAAACACACATCCAAACTCTATTCTGGGTGAAATTTCTCGAGACCCCATAGAGTATGAATCATATAAAGCTATAATATATTCTCAAATCAAGTTAAGTTCAATCGAATTGGTTTTATGAAAAAAGTGGTCAGGATTTCCCGCCACTTGCAGCATACCTGTAGATGCAAATTTAAAAAATGAAACAGAATGAAATTATCTTGTATCACAGATCGGATTTTTCAACGAAGCAAGGAGTTATATAATTCTATGGAAACTTTCTCCTTTTCAACAAGCAGACGTGCGAGATATGGTACTACAGAATTACAACATGAAGAGGTAAGTGAACATAAACGTATGAACTCTGAGAGTGCGAGCGACGTCGACAGAACTTTCGACTATTCGTTGTCTAATGAATACTGGATAAATGCGGGTATTTTGGATGTAAAATTCTCACGCGCTTGAAAGTGGTTGTCCATTTTAGAGCCCAAAAGTGCGTGTGTCTGTGTGTATGTGCGTCTGTGACAATGTCACTGCATTTAGATATATTTTTAGGGATCTTGCTAGTAAGTGATTCTTATTCAGCAGACCGGGGTAAATCACTAGAGAATAGTACAACCAAAAGGGAGTATGCATGCATTTACACAATTCACAATCAACTAGTGAGGAGCAGAAGGTGGTCCTAATCGCTGTGAAGCATATGACAACTTTCTAACTTTACAGAATGTCCTCAAGCACGGATGGCCTATGTTAACTTGTATAATCGTGGGAAGTCAAGGTGATAATGGTTAATATTACAGGGACCACTTAAGATCCTCATTTACGAAAGATTGTTCAGAGTTGATTGCTTTGCATCCTGAGCACCGCATCATCGGAGTATTTGCCAGCAAGGGAAATTGTTTAACATACGGTGATAAGAAAAATGAGGACAAAATCGCTCAGTGTAGAGCACCAGAAGCAATCGAATGAGTAGATTTCTTGCAACTGAAGCACATGAAAGACTTTCGATCTACGAAGTAATCGTGGATCAGTGTGCAAAAGGTTCGGAGTAACATCACTTTCGGTAATCAAACTAATCAATATCAATCAAATAACATTGCTGAATGAGTTTCTAGTATCTGAACACCGTTCTGACGGTCTTACATCTTCTGTTTAGAACCGAAATGACTGAGTGTACAAAATAGGTAACGGCATCAGGCATGGAGCTCACAGAGCAAACTGAAGTACGTCCTCCTCGGCAACATCTGTGTTGATCTGTTACTGCCACATTGAGTTTCATCGCACACGCACGGGAACTCCATATGTATATTTTGTTTTGAGCAGGTTACTAGAAGTTGCGAAGCTGAGTGCATCAAATGGATGTTGATTCGCGGAAGTTATCAATTAAACTTGTCTAAATATCTACCTCAAGGGTGACTATGTATGATGTTTGTGAATCTCACCCCATTGTTAAACTATCTCCATGATTTCATGTCCTTGGTTCTCTGAATCCGAGGTACTGATTAATTTAACATCCGATCCTTTCATTATAAATGATTTATTATCTTTCATATAACATTTTGTTCATGGATACGGAATGAGCAGTTAACGTTTTTTTAAAGGACAAACGCATCCATTTCATAGTTATTGCTTTCGATGGTTCTGGAAAATTGGTGTGCTGTTTTCCACTCCGTTATGCTCCAGCATGAATATCTTTTACTTCTTCGAGATAGACTGTTTGGCAGATCGAAGTGTTAGTACCCTAAATGGGATTGAAACTTACGCTTTTGTTTTATTACTACATAATTAAAGACAGGGATCGCTTAGGTACTCAGCGATTCGTCGTTGCAGTTTATTCTTAGTTGTGCAATGAAATATATTGTTATTTGTGGGTACACATTATTATTATTATTAATATTGTTATTAGACTAGAATACGTGTGCCGGCCTCGGTAGCCACTTCGAGGCCACGTGCGCCCCCAGGGAAACATCCGAACGATTTGATTCTATTGGTCGGTGTCAGCAGGAATTTGATTGGCTGACACAGCGAGGACAGAAATGGCCTGTGTTGGGAGGGGTGAAGGTGGTCGACAGAACGCTTTTTCTAACCCGGCACGAGCCCACTTAATCAGTGACTGTTCATCTCGGTCGACGGAGTGCACTCGATCGTAGGCTTGCCAGTTTCCTTGGTGCTTCGTCTTCACTGTTTGGAATTACATTTGATTTGCACCTTTTGTTTTGAAAGAAACATGGCATTTATACACACGAGCAATTTGCCCGTACGAAAGACTCGTGGACCTTTACGTGCTTTGCATAACAACAATATCGCACCCGATCTGGATGTATCCACCACTCCCAAGCACAATAAAGATTCCGATCATGTGGATTCCATCAAAGGCGAAACTACTCACACGTGAGTTAATTTTCATGTTAGATATTCATTCGTCGAACGTCTGACTTGAATATATCATAACCTAGCGAATCGTGAATTCTGAAATTTCTTAAACGAACTGATCTGGGTTGATATATTTTTTGCAGTTAATTTTTTTTGGTTAGATCAATATCAAGGTTTTCACAGGTCAAATAATCGATTACTGAATGGCGAGCTAAGCCGTCGGAAATCGAAATCAATCCGCGGGGTGTTTTTACCACAAACCATGCCTATTTGCAACGACACTTGATTGCCTCGGTACACTAACAACTATATACATCGTGACAGGTAATGAGGATGTGCGATCGATTCGACCGACCAGACGACGTTGATATGTAACCTGCTTGCCCTTGGAGGCCGTGTTCGTGTGTTTAGGAGGAGGAGGAGAATCTAGAAAAGAGTAGTAACTAAAGTGGTTCACAAAAAGAATAATGCAATTATAAGGGGGTGACTGTCTTTCGTCCTCTCGGTCTGAAAGGCAACATAAGCGGACTTGAGTTGACCCCGTGTATTGCCAATTTAGTGATTGAAGTAATTAAGTTGCCCCGGTGTTGCCGAGGTCACATGTAGACTAATTGATGTTATTACTCACATGAGTCACGAGAAATCAAACTCCAAAGAACTTGTTGCCAACTGTCTCACTTCATCACATTAAAATTTTTATTCGCTCAGATCCGGAGCAGTCTGGACTCCAGTTCAGCGAGCTACGCAACAAAAATCGCTCGACCGTCGACGTTCTCTGCAAAACACTTTCCCACTACCATTACGCACTTCCAGCTGCCGCGCAAGCAAGTCTTCAAAGGCAACGAGTATGCATTCTACTAGTGATATACGAAATCACTTTCGTGTCCGAGGTGTTTCTTTTCTGAATAGTGCGATTAAATCTTCGCTCAGTGAGGACGATAATGCCGGTGAATCTAGCTCCGGGACTTCAAATCAGCTGACCGATTCCAGTTGCTTCTCCATCGCATCCACTGGCTACGTATCTGCCAAGCGTCGTGGAAGTGATGGATTGGATGCATCACTTTCAGCCGCTAAACAACCGCGCCATTCAAATTCGACCATCGATAGCGCAGAAATCAGACCTGTACACACAACAATGGGTGCTTTTGTGAAAGCGCATCCGCGTTACTATCGGCGACGAAGCAGTGCAGATCCGGTGGAACAACAAACCCATTCTGTTTCAATGTACCGTCGATTATCTCCCATTTGTCCTGTCCCTATGCCATCGGGCTTTCCTTCATTGTTGCCAACTACATACACGGCCGTGTCCCTGCCTTGGGAACTCGGTCGAGCTCCGGCTCAGAAAAGGACAGTGGAAACTCAAACCACCCCACCCTCATCCACCGGTACGTTGACGTTGCTCATTTTTATGATTAACAAACCATTAGTTTACAGCATACAGTTTATACAGAAATAAATAATAACTTTTTATTTTTGTATAGCATATTATTCACTGATTCACCTGATTTCTTTTATTGTCATAGGTACACCTTGTTCAACCGAAGAAACACATCCCAAGTGAGTGAAACTATGCTGATCACGTTCAATTTTTACACACTAATTTACAATCATTTATTTCGGAACTGTCACTCCGTTTCTAACGCGTTTTTTCCTCCGCACAGGTCTCTCCGTCCGAGTTTTGGTTCCTCTCAAGTAATGAGCAGCCTACGTCGGACTTTCGGTAACCTACGTCGGGCGATAAGTGCAGAACGTCTTCATCGATCTTCTCGCGGGAGCTTGAATAAATCGCATCCTGAGTTGTTGACCAAAGCAACCGATTCCCCCAGTATGCTTTGCAAAAGTGCAAATCTGTCTATCCATGGGAAGCTTAAGTTCCGACGAGTGGGATCGAGGAAGATGCATCTATCACGACGACCTCATCAACAGTCCACTAATTCCGTGTTTCAAAAATCAGAGGACTATAAGCACTCAGCTCCGTGCCGACTGGATTGTGCTTCACTTATCGACAGAGACCCAGCTCCTTCCCAAGTGGGTTTAGCCTCCCTTACCGGTAGAGGTTCTCCTCTGGAAGATACAACCGATGGTTTAACCTACCACGTACTGAGCACGTATCCGGATGGGTCCATTCGTTTGCAACTGCGTCGCGCCAGTGCCAAAAATCAGTTTGGCTTTTTCATTGCACGCGATACACAAGGTAGGTCTTCCGTTCGATATTGTCACCTTGATAATTTGCCTGTTGGTGGCGGCTGTCTCATGTTCACTAATTATTTATTTTATTTCCAGGTGTCTTCATCAGTCGTCTAGGAAGCGTGCGTTGTACAGTGAAACTGTGGGATGTATTGCACGTTGGCGATCGTCTTTTGGAAGTTCAAGGTGTTCCGTGCTCGAAACTGGAGGTGGAAGATGTGCAGAATTTGATTCGCGGTTGCGAACTGGTCGAATTTCGTGTGCAATCTGCGTGCGTTCAACGGTGAGAAATCCCCCACCTACTCCACTCCTGCCTTGTATCCAGAATCCCGCCGATTGAACCTCGAGCAGACATGTGATTGGTGCATCGCTTCTGGTCTTCTCTCCGTTGCACCGTTAGAGTCCAGATTCCTGAGAACTATCGTTTTCGTTTTGAGTTTTTTCTCCCCGTCCTGCCCTTCAATTTTTCCCGATCGTGTGCGACTGAAAACACTGCAATTTTACCAGATGTACCAGATTGTATTATATTTCTTGCGGTTTTTGCAGAATATTTTCTATACATTTTCCTCTTCTGTATCATATTTTCAGATGTAAATATTCCCAATTGCACCACCATTGCTACGTATTTGGTCTTTTTTCATGTCCCACAAACTCCGATAGTAGAGGTTCATTCAGAGGTAGACGCGGAACAATAATGTATGCTCCCTGATCCACATTCACTCATATCAGTCTTTCTATGCTGTGCCTAGAGGGATTCACTAATTCCCAACTGGTTTGGTGAATTATCTATGTGCCATTTTGTTCGTTGCTGATAATGCTTGTCGCAGTTATTCTCTCCGTCTTCAGTCTATGCATGACAGAGGAAAGCGTTTGATTACGTCATTCCTCTACCTACCTTTCGGATTCCGGTAATCCATTAATTGCCGTTCCCCGATCATATCTCGGTCTGTGGTGACTTCGAAGGGCACGTTTATTAGCTAGAGGAATAAGAACACAGACAATCGAAGTCTGTTCGGACTTGTTCATGATCTGACGGAGAGAAAGAGTGATGATCATGATTACCCTTAAATAAAGATGTGGGCGTGAATCACGTTTCCAACGAAAAAAGCCTTCCTCAAGTTCACTCCATGGATCAGTTCTACTGATTATACAAAGTGATCATTTATGAATAATGACCTAAACTCGACCGGTGTCCAATGTGCCAGCTCACCAGTCTGGTCTTACAAACAATTAGAATTGATGTCTTCGTGAAGTGAATCAATCGCCTGTGAATATATCTAGAGGTGGTTTTAGTGTACCACTCGTTTTTAANGCCGGGTAGTAACAATCCAGTGTCTGTTCCCAAAGTGACTCAGCAAATTCTATATAACCTTCGTATGTGAATCGTTAGTTTTGAGTTGCAATAAAATCCGTATGTATGTATGTATTATCGACCAGTTTTTCCACCCCCCAGGTGAAACGTGTTGCCATCGTTATTTTTCAAAAATAATTCATTTTCGCTGCGAAATAAAACCTGCCACCTGATTCAAGTCAGCCCACCATATGCTTGATACAAGGCTGGACAAGCATGCTTTGTGGAACCTTTTTTTATGGCTGTACTGTCTGGTGAATAGTAAATAGGATTATCCCTATAGTCACAAGAACCTACTGTTTGACTTCGATAACGAGGCACCCTAGCCCATGAACTAACCCAGTCTCCGATGGCATGGTTGTATCCGACACAGCGGCCTACTACCGAAGAGATGTGCACGGGTTTGAACCTAGAGAGTAAGTCCAAAGCACAGCTCAGCGCGTTTGTTATACAGCCAATATTTGTTTGGGCCACTTCTAGATAAACTCTAGATAAAGCGAGGAGCATGAAAAAGTTCGCCACAAATTTTTTGTCTTGAAGTACCGACTGGAAACGCTCAACTGAGGTTTGATGCAGACAGTCAAATCTCGTTATAGGACTTTGACAGTAATGTGCTGTTAGGGGTATACAGAAGATTTCAATAGCTTTTATTCGAGGCTGATACGTTGACTCAGGTCATTTGAAATGTGGTTGAATGATATAGGTTCTGCTTAGCTGGCCCGTCTTATCGACAAAATCTATATTCGATTTCGTTTTGTGAACTATATTAATGACAAATCATGCATAGAAAGTTGGACTGAATAAACTACAAATGTGTCGCAATTTAAGGTGATAAAGGATTGCTCGGTTTGAGGTGATCGAGGAAACTTCTGCTTCGCGAATCGTGAAGACACTTATATTTTTGGCAGTTTTGTCGTTAAAAACAGTAACTTCCCAGGTGCAGTGTGCGTTTTATTCGGTTGACATATTAGTGACTAACGTTTGTGGGCCGACATTGCCTTAGTTGTCATTGTGAACAGTTAGTGATGGTCAGCTGCTTCTTCATTCGATAGCTTTTCTCACGAGTTTCAGTTTATGCACCAAATCCGCATAGAGTAGTCAGATGATAACAACCGCTCATAATGATTGTGTTTTGTCGTGCTTATTTCTCCTTTTGCTAACTGCCTTAATCTGTCCATATCCCCCGATGTTTAAGGAAAGGGTGACTCGGGATAGGTAAGTCACATTGTGAAGTTGGACTATGATGTAACCGGAGGGGAACAAATAGATTTCCATCAGTGTACAGTCAAAAGATAAGTCCCAGTTTTTTTTACTCTGGCAATATATCACCGGACCAAAAGCCGAAGACTTATGACTGGTAATTTAATCCTTAGCGAACGGGTGTGATCAACTGCACGACAGTCTGAAGCAGTGTCTGTCTGTGTGTGTCAACTTAGTCCAGGAAAAAAAAACAAGCGATGCAGTAGTGACCCTCTATCAGCACACTGCGTGGAGTCCAGTAAAGATCACCAGGCCGAATGTCTTAACTCAAGTGAATAATGACCTGAGAGGTCGGCAGTGAAAATCCACGCAACGCCGATAATCATCATTCTCTCACCGCGCGGATGACAGTTGAACTGTCTTGGAACAAGGTTTATTCTTCCCCTGGAGTGATGTGAGTATAGAGTATGTTTTCCATTCCACACACTCTTATTCAGTTTTACCTTTTACCCCACCACAAACACACTCCATTTAACCTGTCACCGCACACGTTCATGAGCTGCAACAGGAACAAGAGGGAGTTTGGGCCAGCACACAATAAGGGCGTTCGCATCAATGCTTTAAAATCAGGTCACTCCAGTCTCAATGAACTGGAAAACGGACATGATAGGTGACTGCAGCTGAAATCATCTAAACAATCGTTCATTTTTTCTGAGTGGTTGAGGGGACGATTAAACTATATATATATATATATAGTCCTGCATTTTTCTAAGCACTACCAGCAGAAATTTTCGTGCGTTTGCACAGCACAGGCCTCCATAACTGAATGACTGAAAGCCGTACAGCCCGGTTGTTTAATTGCAATCAAATGATCATGATCATTTTTCACTTGAACGTCTCCTAAGCTCATCTCGTTCCTATCTGATCTTGCGGAACATGTCTCAAGAGGATAAGATTGCCAGTTTTTCAGGAGATCACACATTGAATTCATTTCCACTATTTGATTTTTGGTCTAGGCACACAGTCAAAACCATTTGATAGATAGAGACCGAACCGCTACACACACATAGACAGCATATGGTTACTCGTGTTTGATTGGGGCTAGTTTCTGCCGCTATCTTCAACGAAAACCCTCCTTATATTGTAGGTATATAGAACCACTGATTTAGATGGTATATGTTTTAGTTCATTCAAGCACTTATAACACATGAGCGGTCAAGGCTGAACAAGAAGGACTGATCATCAATGACACTGAAGGAAAAGCAGTTAGAAAAAGGTAATCATACAGACAAAAACTGTGGAGTTGAAAAGACTACAAACGTTATTCGATGAGCTCCTGTTATATGCCAAACACTGCGCTAGGCACAGGCTCAAACCGTAAAGACTAAGTTAACTCATAGTCTGCCAAAAACAATTTATTTGTTTAATATTGTTGTATAACATCAATGCCATGGGATAGTCATTTCGTTCATTGTCCAAACTCGTTAACGATACAAACTTTGTGTTGTGACCGAATTCCTACCCGGGAGTAGAAGTATAAAATGATTTTACAAACAATCACCGGATAATCATATCCGTGTTAGCGCCAAGAGCCGTACGATTTTGAGAAATTTTCCTCAATCTTTCATATAATAATAATAATAATTGTAATATTTACAACCCTGACCCCGGTGTTGAGTTTACTAAGGTTAGAAATATTTAACCCACAGATCGCATTGTAATGGTTTTTCAAGGCTGGCTCTTCTGGGATGTGAATGGGGATGTGACATCATGGTTTTTGTCTCCCCTGAGACTCTAACCACAATCATTGACAACTAAATCCAATAATTTTCTTTAAGAGTCCAAGTGTTGATGGTACTTATCAAGGGAATTCTAAAAACTAGGTATCTCTCGTATTCGTTGCAAAGAAGGAAAATGAGAATGGTAAATAAGCTCCTCGTATCGAATGGCGGTGCAAATTGAACTTCAACCTGGTCGTCCAAACCGGAAAGATAACACTTTAAAGTTGTCTCAATGAAGATCTTTTTCGTCAAAATATACTATATATGTTGTTTCAGGTGACTCGTTCGGCAAGGTGATAAAATGTATCCTGTTCAATGAAATGAATCACGAGGAAGCGAAGTAAAGTTTGACGAAAATATCCACCTTCAACACTACTCTGTGAGCGCACCTTCATCAGAAGAGTGAAGCTGGAACTATTACTACTTCAAGTGGAAGATTCCCGTAAGAATGTCAAAAGACAAACAATATAGCAAACAAGCTTGTTGCTATAACTTCGTCTTCAGATATTGAAAAAATTAAGCAAAACTTCGGGTAATACCTGGCCTTTATAGCTCGAAAGATTTACTAATGGAGAAAGAACTAAGAAACGTGGAATCCACATTTAGGATTAATGGACACTGAAGCGTTCTACCAAAAACTGTTCTTGCAGCTCTTATTCAAAGCCTATGAGAGTGTTTACCTACTAAAATGATGTTCGAAAAAAGCAATCACACTAACGTGTCAAGCCGCCACTCTACGACCAAAACTCTGCACAAACCGCTAGGATAAGGTGCCCATCCTCTCCTCATCCATGATTACGTAGTTCTTCATTTGCTCATGTTCGGCAAGTTATGTAGCACTAACCACGAGATAATTTTTTCACAAAGGATCAGAGAACATAAACCGACCTGGATAAACACGGAATGGAAGAAAGCAATAACCAGTG